TTTTATATTACAATTTTCCTTTAATTTTTCTATCCAATAATATTTTTCTTTAAATAAGGGAACCTTGTTAAATTTTATTTATTAATAATAAATAAACTTTGAGTATTAAAAGAAGAGTTTGGCTTCTCTTAAGTTGTTATCTCAATTTGAGAGAATGTTTGGACTTGGTAGGCCCATTTCATAATCGATTCCGATGATCCGAACTGTTTATTTTTTAGAACTCGTTGAGTAGAGTTTTCATGTAAACAACTAAAATGATTAAATATCAATAACTATATATTTAAATCATATTTGTTTTACAAAAATAGATGACAAATATAATTTTAAGAATAACCATCCAAATTTTATAATATAAATTTGATTCAAATATATAACTACTGATATCCAATCATCTTAATTTTTTACATGAATTTTCTATTAAAAAGTGAACGGTTCGGATTATTGAAACGGAACATATGGTGGGCTCCACGGATCCCTCAAGTTCTATCGTCTGGCAACCTTCAGTTTTAGTCAAAAAGTCAAAAAGTCATTATAAGTTGTCACATTACTCTCTTTACTTTTATGCACATCCTTTCGTAAAAAACCAAAAAATTACTAAAATAGTCTGTTCCCAAACGATTCCACCCCAAGAGGTTAGTCTAGTGGCAAGGTTTTGGGTTTTTGGGGTATGCTTCCTCCAAAGTTCAGGGACCGAAATCTTTAGGTGCTAACAATTCATTGGAGCCATCAGACTGGAAGAAAACCCTTAAATTAACCGTAGTGCACTTGTAGAAAACTCCTTGGGTGGAAAAAACTTTTGAATTAACCGTGATGCTCTTGTGATAAACTCCTTGAGCCAAGGGTCTGTGCACCATTGGAGATTAATCGAACTTTGAATCGGACACCCCAGTGCCAATAAAAAAAAATTAAATAACAATAATAATTACTTATTCCATTAGTTGGTCAAATTTTGCAACTAATAAGTAATACCCGAGGAGATCAAGCTAGATACACATTGTTAAAAATTTCAAGCTTGACAAGAGTATAAAATAAAATAAAATGGTGTGAACTCTTGAAATTGAAATGCAGGTCTATTCACAATGGTGTCAATAACAATAAATTAACAAAAGACATAATCAATAGATTATTTTATAATTGACCTCCTCTATTCAATAGTTTCAGTCTTATCTCAATTTGTGTGACTAAGAGCATCTCTAATGGCTTGCTATTGGAGCTGCTATCACCAAATTATGGCAGCAATTCATAGAAAGCCACCTCCAATGGTAAGTTTTGGTGGCTACTAACTTTGGCAAATACCAAAACTTATGTCAAATATGACACATGCCAAAGCTGCCAAGTTAGCTTCAACCAACTGTTTCCTCCCTCCCTTTCTCATCATCCAACATAAACACAAAAGCAAAATCCACCCAAAAGCCACCAAAAAAATAAAAACAAAAGCAAAATTTCAGAAGCAAACATAGTTAGAGCAATTTCAAACAATTTTAATTTCAAGCAAAATTTTATGACAATTTCAATTTCTGCAATTTCAAGCAAAAAAAAAAAATCTAAATTGAACAACTATTTCAGAATAAAAAAAAATACCTAACACAGAGGGTTGATCTTCTTCGTGTTCTTCGGATGGTCTTCAGTAGGTTTTTTTTTTTTTTTTTGGGATCATCACTGACAGAGGGATCCTTGGAGGAGGTCATCATTACAGTGTCGGGTTTGGATCATCACTGACAGAGAGGGATCGTCGAAATCAAGGGTTAGAATAGAGGGAGAGATAGATCAAAGAGGGAGAAAGATGATCATTTGGATTAGGGTTAGGGTTTCGATCGATGGAGATCGACAATTAAGAACGGAGGCAGAAAAGAGGGTTAGAGATCGAGAGAAGGGAATTAGGCTTTGATGGTTGTTGTGGTTAGGGTGGTGGTTGTGATGATGAAGAAGGTAAGAGACCGAGAGAGAAGAATGTTAGAGAAGAGAGAAGGGGGGTTGGGGTTTAAGGGTTGGAGATCAGCAGTGGGTGTGTTGGTAGTTCCGGCAGTGAGTGCAATTGGTAGTGAGTGAGTAAGGAAGAATGCAATCGGTGAGAGCGAGGGAGAGAGAGAAAGACTGCTTCGTCGGGGAGCCATTGGAGAGATAAAGAGAGACAGAGTGTTGGGTAGAAAGAGAGAGAGCAGAGATGGGAGTAGGTTCTGGAATCAAGAGAGAAGTGATAAGAGAGACAGAGAGATAAGAGAGAAAGACAGAAGCAACAATCTGAACCATTGGATTGTTTAATCCAACGGTGTTCTTTGTCATTGGAATACACAATTTGAGCAATGGCTCTTTTTTTCCTCCAATTGAGAAATGTTTGAAATAGCTAGTTTGCAACGGTTATAATTTAACTAGATATAAAAAAATAAAAAAAAAAGGTCATATTTTTTACTCCCTATAAAACTAAACAATCAATCTCAATTGATATACACATTCTCTTCAATCTACATAATTTTTTTGGATACAGATTTTTCACACAATCAATATGGAAGGTTCATCAAAAATGAAGAGAGGAAAATCATTCACCACTCAAGAAGATGTAGCAATTTGTAGAACTTGGTGTCACATTACTGAAGACCCAATTATTGGGAATTCACAATCTCACTCATTTTTGGGGAAGAATTTTTGAAAATTATTGCTCGTTGCAGAATGATCACTCAATAACACAAATATCTATCTCATCTCGATAGGGTGTAATCATGAAATGTTGCAACAAATTTCATGGGTGTTTGGCACAAGTCGAAAATCTACACCCTAGTGGGATGTCTCAAGTTGATATAGTGAAATTTCATCTTCATTTATTATGTTAGTTTTTATTGTTATTATTATTATTTTTTTTGATAATCATAGTATAAAATAACAAATTAATTAATTTAATATTTTATTGATACAGATACTTCAAGCAAAATTGTTATACCATCAAGATGAGAGCAAACATTTTTCTTTTGAACATTGTTGACCAATCTTACAAAACAATATCAGGTGGCAAGATGCAAGTCCTATGAACACAATGACGTCAAGGATACATACATTGTTTTTCTCTAATTCAGCTCCCGAATCCCCCATGGAGAACTGCATTTCTCTTGAAGACAACAACATTCCAAGTGTTGGAAACAGTCCAAGTGTTGGAAACAATCCAATCGGTAAGGGTAATGTCTCTATAAGGGGTAAAAGGCCTATGGGTAGGAAATCTGCAAAAGAATTGCTTCGAAAAAGTGAAGTTGTGCAAGCTGAAGTCCACAAATATAACATTTTGTTGAAGACATTTAACCAACAACTTATTGAGAAGGAAATGAAAATAGCTGAAAGAGAAGAAAAAATGATTCAAGCATTACAAGAGATGAAATAACTAAAGATCAAAAAGGAAGAACATTTGGACGAGATGAGAGAACTTGAGATTAAAAAGGAAGAACGTTTGATAATGATTACGGACATTTCTCATTTGAATCCTCAGACGAAAGTAATGCGCAAAAATGATATTTTCGCCAAGTGGTCTGCACATGCCAACAACCTAAATTACTATTTTTTCCTGCCTCCTGATGAATAATTACGGGAGAATGTATTTATTAATTTTGCAATGTCATTTATTTTTCAATGTAATTTTGAGTATTTTATATTTAAATTTACGGGTGAATTATATTTAAATTTTTTTTTCAATTTTTCAAATTTTTTCATTTTTTATACTTGTCTAGTCAGGTATAATGTAAATATATAAATTTTTGGAGAAATTACTCATAAATCTCATATTAGGAAATGTTGCTTTATCTAGTCCTGACTGTTTTTTATTAAACTATTTAGTCCTTTTTATTTTTGGTATGATATATTTGTTTAATATATTGTGTATGGAGTTTACTTTTTTTCCCATATTGTGATTTCATTTTAATTTTTCCTGGTGTGTGTTAAAGTATGTTGTAACATTACTTTTTTTTAGGAAGGGATTTGCATGGATTGATGTGAGAGATTATGATGTTTCCCAGTTGGTGTTGCTTGTGATGCCCACGTTCTAGCTGTTGGCTTGGTCTGTTTATCAGACCATTGTGTCTATGATGTTTGTTGTGGTTCTAGGGTGCCTTATATTTATTTTTATTTCTATTTTCGTAATGTGGTTTTGTGGTGTTTGTGATGGAGAAATTCCGTGAGTGAATCACTGCAACATCGGAATCCAAATCCAAAACCTTCCATCTTCACCGTTACAGTTCTGATCGAGCAGGATGGATAGCAACAAAACACCACATTTCATTGCTGGGCACTACGGTAAATTTAACATCAAGACAAATCCATATTTACCCTCATTATTTCAAACCTACGCGCACAAAACATGGGCTGTAAAGTCTTTACAGTTGAAATGGGACCTATCCGTTCTTAAAAAAAAAAAAGACAGGACTAAATGATTTAACATTTCCAGATTTGGGATTTAATGGTGCTTTACCCTAATTTTTTTTACAAACAGTTGAAAAAAGGTCACAAAAGACAAAAAAATAAATAAATAAATAAATAAACAAAAAAAAATTCCTAAAAAACTTATATCCAAACAACACCTATAAACTTGAAGGGAAAGTTAGTTGAGATTTGTCAAAATAAAATATGGCCAGTGGAGCATCATTACTATAATTTGGCAAATAACACTATTTATTGCCAAATTATAGCAATGGCAAAGCTATTTTAGCAAACACCATTGGAGATGCTCCAAGAACCATAGGGTAGAATTGACTTCATCACCATCATCTGAGAGAAACTGGGAAGAAATTTTCAACCTCCATATTCACCACAATTATCGCATAGTAAGCATTAAAATAGTTTGCAATTTATAGAACTGATGTAATGAGAATTTTTTATATGTACAAAGAAAACAGCATCTGGAAGTAATTTGATCATAAACAACACAAAGCTTTGAACAATATAGTAACAGAAACACTAAAAATGATGCTTCCAATTTCACAAATGAAGATTAGTCTGTGCTGCCAATTTCACAAGAGTCAGTCATGTTTCTCATGTTCATCACATTGATCCATCTCAGAACACTTCCCAATGCTGCTGCCATTTTTAGCATCTTTGGTGGAAATGAGACTGATCATCTTGCACTGTTGGCTTTCAAGTCAAAGATCATTCGTGATCCTCAGGGAGTAATGAACTCCTGGAGCAACTCTCTCCATTTCTGTGAATGGGAAGGTGTTTCCTGTGGCCATCGACACAGGAGAGTCACTGCCATAGACCTTGAGTCCAGTGGCATAGTCAGTTAATTATGTCCTTACATAGGAAACGTGAGCTTTCTTCAAAAGATTTCACTCTTAAACAACACATTTCAAGGAAAAATCCCCTGGGAACTTAGCCTTCTGTCCAGTCTGCAAACTTTAAACCAGAACAATAACTCCCTGGAAGGAAATTCCAGCCAACCTCTCACACTCCTCCAGCCAGATGTTCCTCGGTTTGGCTAACAATGACCTTGTAGGCACAGTTCCCCGGGAGCTCAGTTTCCTGTCAAAGCTCAAGCATCTTGTTATTCAGAAGAACAATTTAACAGGAGGGATCCCATCTTTCCTCGTGAACCTGACAGCTCTGGAGGTTATATCTGCAGCCCAAAATGCTTTCGGTGGAAGTACCCCAGATGAATTGGGTCAACCGAGAAACACTAGTTATTTTGCATTGGGTGAGAACAACCTATCTGGTATGATCCCTACCTCCATTTATAACCTATCCTTTCTTACTGTTTTCTCTTTGCCTATAAATCAACTTCGAGGCAATTATCCTCCAAGCCTCTGCCAGATGCTTCCTCAGCTTCAAGCAATTCAGTTATATGACAACCAATTGACTGGGTCCCCCCCACTCCCACTATCCAATGCGTCAGAATTGGAATATATACACATAGGAATTAACTATTTCAATGGGAAAATATCAATTGATTTTGGACGCCTAACACATAAGTGGTTCATAAATCTAGATTCCAACAATTTTGGAAGAATTGGATCTGTTTGGTAACAAATTGAGGCGAGTGTTACCAGATCATGTGGGCAATCTTTCAACTAAACTCAATTATTTAGCATGTACAGAGTTGTCCCATCAACAATCAGTAATCTTGTCAATTTAACAAACTTATCTCTACATGATAATCAACTCACTAGCACACTTCCCACCATTGTTGGTAATTTTTAAAAGCTCCAAAGACTGCTGCTTAGTTCTAATCAACTATCAGGAGAAGTTCCTAATTCTATAGGAAACCTGTCACTATTAAATGAACTTCACTTGGATAATAATAGATTACAGGGAATCATACCATCAAACATTGGAAATTGCCAGAGTTTAATATTACTAAACCTATCTCAGAATAACTCTAGTGGTACCATACCTAAACAACTTTGAAGTATTTCCTCTCTCAATTTCACTAAATCTAGGTTGGAATAGTTTGTTCGGATCCCTCCCTTCAGAGGTTGGCAACCTAAAGAATTTGGCTGAACTGGATATCTCTGAGAATAAATTGTTTGGTAGAGTTCCAAGTACCGTTGGGAGCTGCACTAGTCTTCAAAACCTATCCTTGGAGGGTAACTTCCTTCAAGGGTCTACTCCTGCATCATTGAGCTCCTTAAGAGGTATTCAATACTTCGATCTTTCTCATAACAACTTGTCAGGACAGATTCCCAAATTCTTGGAGCAGATTCCCCTCATGTATTTAAATTTATCATCTAATAATTTCGAGGGTGAGCTTCCAAGCATAGGAATTTTCTCAAATGCAAGCGCAATATCAGTTTCTGGGAATAATAGGCTCAGTGGGGGCATTTCTGCACTACAGCTACCAAAATGCACCATCCAAAGATCAAAGAATCAAAAAATGTTCCTTGCATATTAATTATCTCTACAGCATGTATGCTTGTCATAGTAATAATTGTGTCAGCATTTCTGCTCTGCTGGTTTAAGAGGAGAAGGAAAGTCAGTCCTATGGAACATTGTTGAGGGAATCATTCATGAAAATTTCTTACAAAAAAACTCCTCAAAGCAACTGATGGGTTTTCTTCAGAAAATTTGATTGGTGTGGGTGGTTTTGGATCTGTGTACAAGGGAATCCTTGATCAAGATGGATCAGTTGTCGCTGTCAAAGTATTTAACCTACAATCTCAAGGAGCCTCAAAGAGTTTCTTGGCAGAGTGTGAAACCTTAAGAAATATTCAACATAGGAAACTCATAAAGATCATAACCGCTTGCTCAACTATTGATTTTCAAGGTGAGGATTTTAAAGCTCTAGTGTATGAGTTCATGCCAAATGGGAGTCTCAAGTAGTGGCTGCATTCAAATCCAGAAACAGATAATAGAGGAGAAGCAAAAAAAACTTCATCTTCTTCAAAGACTAAACATTGCTATAGTTATGGGATCATGTTATTGGAGATGACGACAGTAAGGGAACAATTTACAGAAAGTTTATAGGAGACCTTAACCTTCACAACTTTGCTAGGATGGCCTTGCCTGACCATGTTATCGAAATTGTGGACCCGATACTTCTAAGTAACAATAAAGAAGAAGAATAAGCCCCAACGAATCTGAAAGCAAGACAAGTGAGAAATGCAAGCACAATGGAGAAGCGTGTGATTATAATGGATAATATTGGAGTGGCATGCTCGATGGAGTCACCACAAGATCGAATGAATATAAGGAATGTTCTCCACGAGCTGCATTTGGTCAGAAACATCCTTCTGCAGGACTGAAGCTTAATTTGCTCCTACAGATTTCATGGTATGGAAGTTTCAGAAAAAACCTTTGACTCATGGCTTGGTGCATAACCTGAATGCCATGCAGTTAAGACAATAAATTAATGTACATACATTAATTTATAGAGGTTTACATATTAGGTTTCTAGCATGTGACATCTAAAGACATGCTGGTGATGAAATAAAAGCTACCATTCTAAGTCTTGAATCCTGAGGTAAAATGCATGTATATTACACTGGTTTGCTCTAATGAATATGCATAAAATATATATATATATATATATAAAAAGGCATCAACGAGGAACAGAGTGTGTGCTTATAAATGAACAATCTTATTGACTTCATTTTGTTTTAGTCGGCAATCCAGAAAAACAATTGTTACCTAACACCAAATTTGGGATTTGACTATATAAGTCAGAACTTTCAAATATAAAAAATACTATACAAAGTAACAAAATCAACACTTGTCATGTCATGCAGTGTTAATTTTCTGCACCAAAAAAGTTGACCACCTTATATTAATGGTGATTTTAAATTATCATAATGATTTTTTGTGCTTGAACCGGGTGAATTTTGTTAGTGCCCAAAACTAATCTAGAATGAGTTTATATTCATGCCCTTGAAATCTCACTTTTACAGGACAATATGAAGCTTGATGCTTATCAAAACAGTGAGAAATGGCGTGGAACACTCGTTCAAAAAGGAAGAGGATTATGATTGTACTTTTATCTTCAAACTGGGACCCTATATGTCACAAAATTGTATAAATAATTTGACTCCCAGATTATTTCCCATTTAGTCCATATGAGAATGATAATGTAATGTCCTTGTGTGGTTTGAGTTTGTGTACCTTTTAATTTTTCCATCCAATGATATTTTTCAAAGGAATTAGTAATTAATGCATAAAAGGGCATAAAAAGGTGTAGAATAATACCATGCAACACTTCGTCATAAATAAAGGAAACGTAATAAATAATTATTAATAATAAATGAACTTTATGAGTATTAAAGGAATTAATAATAAACTATTGCTACCACAAGATCCACAATAGTTTGGGTTGGAGTTAGATATTTGATTTCCTTGCCTTTCATATAAGGTCTAGTTTAAATGACTGACTTTTGAACTGTAAGGGCTGATCAATTATTTACTTATTCCATTGGTTTGTCAAATCCTGTAATTAATAAGTAATACCAGAGGAGATCAAGCTACACATAGTTTAAAATTTCAAGCTTGACAATGGTAACAATAAGTAGAAGAAAAACAATTTGAGCAAAAAAAATGTTGTGAGAGTTCATATGGAATATATAATTATGAGGACATTTTTGGCGAAAATGAATTTGTTACACACACCTTTTAGTGTGTGAACAATACACAACTTGATTGGCCCAAATATGTGAACTTCATATCCAAAAAGTGTAAAGACCCCACCCAAAGTGATTTGATCTCTCTCCCTCTCTTAGTAGCCTTTGTTAGGGCATAGGAGGACTACAGCTGCGTAGATGCTCATACACAAAAACAAATCATAGAATTGTAAGAATTCTAAAGAATTTCTGTATATTCAATTGTATTTACTGAACAAAGAATGCATCACTTATATAAAACACTAAATCCTAATCCTAAACGTATACATCATTGATATAGAATTCTGATAGATATAGAACACTAATCCTAAATAGGAAACAAGAATAAACCTAAACCAATTTTAAATAGGAAACAATAAGAATAAACCTAAACTAATCCTAAATAGGAAACAATATTCACATAATATATACACTAATATTATTCTCACACCCCCGCTCAAACTCAAGGTGTTTGGGCAAAAAACACTAAGAGTTTGCCAAGAAGAAACTGAAACCAAGCAGTGATGTGAGTCTTGGTAAAGAAGTCAGCAAGCTGCAGAGCCGAAGAGACGAAAGGAGGCAAGATAGAGCCAGACAGCAGATGCTAACGAACAAAGTGACAATCAATCTTAATGTGCTTGATCCGTTCATGAAAGACAGTGTCATGTGCAATCTGAATAGCACTGCGGTTGTCACAATAAAGGGAGGTAGGGGAAAACTGAGGGACGCCCAAGTCAAAAAGAAGACAACAAAGCCAAACAATTTCAGCATTAGCATGAGCCATAGCACGATACTTAACTTCAACAGTAGAGTGAGCAACAACAGTTTGTTTCTTGCTTTTCCAAGAGAGCAAGGAATCGCCGAGAAACATACAAAAACCAGACGTGGACTTGAGATCAGTAACATCACCAGCCCAATCAGAATCAGCATAAGCCACCAAATCCAAAAAGGCAGTAGAGGACAGTAGTAAACCCTCAACGATAGTACCTCGGAGATAGCGAAGAATCCGAACCAAGGCAGCCCAATGTGTGGAGCAAGGAGTAAAGACAAACTGGCTAACCACATGAACAGCATAGGCAAGATCAGGACAAGTAACCGTCAGATAGACTAAACAATCCACGAGCTCTCGATATAGAGTAGGATCATCCAGAAGAACACCATCAATAATGTTGAGCTGTACATTAAGCTCAATAGGGGTATCAGAAATCTTAGTGTCAGTAAGACCGACACGATCAATAACCTCATTGACATACTTGGCCTAAGAGAGAAAATAGCCCTTAGGAAAAGAAGCCACTCAGAACAAGAAAGAGAGAGAGATGTCACGATGTAGGTCATGACTCTGACAGGTGCGACTGATGTCACAATTCCAACAACTAACGAAAACGAAGTCGAAAAACTGATGTCGTAACTCCAACAAGAGATCAATCACTCGTGAGTAGTGTTTTTAAAGGCTCAAGGCACACTAAGGCGCTGAAGGTCTCTCGGGGCCTAGGCGCAAGGCGAGGCGCAGGCTTTATTGAATTAAGGCGCACAGTCTTCGTAAAAAATAGAAAAATTAACATAGACTAATCATTCATAGTACTAAGACAATTTTTTAAAAAATAAAAAGTAATCAAGATTCAAGACAAAATATAGAACAATTCTCAAAGCCATGAAAGTGCATATTACATAACATTTCAATTTTCAAAGATAAAATAATCCACATTCAATAAAATAAAAATAAAAAAATAAACACTAAACATCCAAAACATAAATATCCAACAAATACCAATATACGTCTTAACAATTAAAAACATCAATATCAAAAGAAAGGGTAGGTTAGGTCGGTGTCAGTCAATCATCATCCTCAACATCAATGGCAACATCTTCTTCTCCATCAGTTGATTTATATCCCTCAACATCTTCCTCCTCTGTGCCATCTGAGCCCGCTTCCTCTTCATCTATTAATTGAAGTGGAGTCAATGTTGATGATTTAGATATCCTCGGTTGTGCCTTTGAGCGTGAACTTGTTGCACTACTTGCATGGCTATTTTCTTCTACTACAGAAGCTCTAGCAACAGTGGCCCACGTCAAGCCATCATCATCATCAAACACAGGCTCATTATCTTCATCTGATTCTCCATCCATCCTCCCAAGCAACCACTCATTGCTTTCATCAATATTTTGCAAAGATATGGGATCAAGAGTGTTGCGCATGTCATACCTACATCTCAATGTTCTATTGTATTTGACAAACACTAAATCATCGAGACGTTGTTGTTCCAATCTATTTCTTTTCTTGCTATGAAGCTGCAAGTATTAAAAAGATATTAAATTCTATATAATGAGAATAAAAAATATTTGAATTGAACAAAAAATTAGTTAAAATGTTAAATACTCACATGTTCGAATACACTCCAATTTCGTTCACAACCCGATAAACTACATGTTAGGCTAAGGACTTTTATGGCAAAAGTTTGCAAGTTTGGAGTTTTAGAACCATATGATGCCCACCAATCAGCTACGATAATCCACTAGTTAGAAATAACTGTTACCAAGTATTGAGTTTTACTAAAAGTATTACTAAAAATAAACTCTAATAGTCTATAATATATTACCTGGTGCTCTTGTATTTCTTTGCCTAATCGCAACAGACTTGCCAAAAAGACGCTCAGCCTTCATATAAATACTCATCTCATTAGTGATCAAATCTTGAACAATGACATTCGGGACCAACCCTTGCATGCATTCATAAAACCCATTCATCACTTCATGATCTTTTTACACCTCTAACTCTTTTGGGTAAAAGAATTCTGGATTAAGAAAATGCGCAACTGCATGTAAAGGCCGATGCAATTGGACATCCCATCTTTTGTCGATGATTTTGAAGATTTCAGTATACTTCTCTTCTTTATGATCAAATGAACTTGTAATGCATTCTTTTTCCCTATCCATTGCCTCATAAATGTATCCCATGGGAGGTTTCTTCTTGGTATCAACCAATCTAAGCACTTTGACAAGGGGACTCGAGACCTTAAGGGCAAACACAACAGTATTCCAAAATGAAGGCATCAACAAAGTTTGTGCTATTCTTTTACCTTGTGGCTCCTTTGCCCATTTGCTTGAGGTCCAGTCTTCGGAGGTGACCATCTTTCTCAAATTGTTTTTTTGTTGATGCATCCTAGACAAAGTCAAAAAGGCGGTTGCAAATCTAGTTTTTGCAGGCTTGATCAAATTCTTCAAATTTGTATAGTG